AAGCGGCGAAGCGAATGGAGCAGTTGACCTGCGTACTTTTGGCATAGATCTTCACGTTGGTTCGGCAGGCGAAAGCCAGGCTCTGCAGGGCGAGCTCGGCGTGGGCGCAAAGCGCTGCCAAGAAGGCGGCGCGGAAACCCTCCGATCCATATGCTGCACTTGTCGGCGCCCTGGGCGGCGGTGGCTGGCGCGGGGGCGTCGGCGCCAACGGCGCGGCGCTTAATGCTCCCCGATGTGACAGACGAGCTGACTGACCGAGGATGGGGGCGATCTGGCGCGCGAGGCTGCTGTCCAAGCTGCCTGCTCGCAGGCCAACAACCGCGCCTATGACTTTGTCACGATGGCGGCCTCCACGGCGTCGGAGATCCGCTCCGAGGTGCCGTCCTCTATCTTGGCGATGTGCGTCTCAAGGTTGGCAAAGTGCTCGTCGTGCGTGTCGAGCAGATTCTGCGCGTTGGTCGTGCCATCCTTCGTGCAGACGTTCGGGAGCTTGTTGCCCATGCTGCGGAGCAGGTCCACCTGGTCGTGATCTGCTGGCGGAGTGTTCGGAGCGGGCGAACCGAGGGGCCTGGGAGTGGAGCCGAGCAGTTCACGAGGACTTTCTGGAACACACACGGGGTGATGATGCGATCGGCTCGACGGGGTCCTGATTGCAAAAGACCCGAAATCCACGTGGCTGGCTGGCGAGCTCAACGTCATCGGAAGCGTCGCCCACTGGAAATATACCCGCGTCCTCCCATGATGCAGCCCCTGCGGAGTGGGCAGACATCGACGTGATTACTGGGTGCGAGAATCGAGGTCGGCCTCTGCGCAGACTGGTGGCCTGAATGCTCGAAGTCAGGCTACGGAATGGCCGAAGACTGTTCGCTGGTTCTCGGGCGTATAGCTTCTCACAGCGCTTAGTCTTGAGCCAACGTGGCTACGGATTAAAGCGGGCGGACATCCTGAGAATATTGAAAACAAAAGGGTATGCGAACTCCACGGGGAAGTCAAGGAATATGATGATGATGGTGAGGAGGAGGAGGATAAATATGAGGACGAGACGGAGGGGGTGACTCCAGCTAGGTGCGCTCGCTTCATATCTGACATCTTACCCCTCCCTCCCATCCCTTGCCATAGCGTAGATCCCCTCTCTACTCGCACAGTCGGACGTCGAGCAGGGCAATGATCCCAAAAGGGTACGCGATGCATTGTAGAGCACGGCGTGGCATGGCGTAGAAAGAGCACCGCAGAGCGCAGCATCAACCTAGCATTGCATTGCATGCCGTGGCATGGCACGGGAAATGACGCCAGTGCTGCAGCGTGAGCACGAGTCGGAACGAACGGAAGCGCGGAAATGAAGCAAACGCTGCAGCGGGAGCACGATTCGGAACGAGCGGAAACACGGAAATGAGGCCAGCGCTGCAGCGGGAGCACGATTCGGAACGAGCGGGGCCCTAAAATGAGGCCGGCGCCACAGCGAGAGCAGCATTTTGGAAACAAACGCAAGCGAAAACCCAACTCCAGGGAATCCTGTGTAAAAAACAGTGCGCGGGGGGGGGGCTAATACTTTCAAGCCGTCATCAGGGGAAGAGGGAGAGTAGTATTCATATTGAATAATTGTCGATGGGGGAGACGGATGAGGAGGCCCCGTGGGCGAGACGATCTGGAAGAGGAGGGGAAGAGGTCCAAAACGAGAGAGAGAGAGGGAGAGAGAGAGAGAGAGAATGAAACTTGTGGGGGAGAAGGACGGAGGAGGATGAGAAGGACGGAGGAGGTGGAGGAAGAGGACGAGGAGGTGGTCCCGAGGAGGAAGAAGAGGAGGAGGAGGAGGAAAGATGAAAAAACATAGTAATAATACCGGATCGCATTGGACCCGGCTTTGAACACCTGGGGACGTGAACTTGATATACACACAGACACATGGCATATTTTACCTTAGCCGCGAAACGTTGTACCAACCACTGGAAAAACGTAAACGGATCGCCCTGGCGCGAAATGCAAGCGTCCGCCTGACGCAACCGCTCGAACATCAGCCGTAGTCTCGTGCGTATACGAAGAGGACCAGCGTGGAACTTTGGAGCAGCAACAAAAAAGTCATGCACCGAGCTTGGAAGGTATCGCGCACGCGCGGCGAGGCAACGCATGCAATCGAACGAAACAACGAAAGTAAAGAAACGGGAGGAGACGTGGCCGAACCGCCGAGCGGACGCCCACCACGCGTCGCATCCAGCGAGCTGTGAAGAAAATGCTTCGGCAAGATGAGGCCGACCAGCAAAGCGTCGCCGTGCGACACGTGCAGCGGCGAGGGCAATGGCACACGATGGCGTCAAGGTGCAATCAGCCTGCTGCCGTAAGGAACGTCGAACAAACACTGAGGGAATTTGCTGGCCACGGCTAGCCGTGGCCACAAACGGGCTCCCCGATCCAGACTTCAGGAACTGCCCGAAAACGGAGCCCTTCTAGAGCCAACCACGAGCATCGCGCTCGAGACAGCTTGCGCAAGGATCGTGAGAATGAT